TATGCATAAATGTCTGTAAATAAGTTCGTAAACATTATGTCTTCTTATACAAGATTAAATAAACACGATAATTACAGTCTGATTAGGTGAAAAAAAAAAAAAAAATATTAATTTATCTACGATGCAAACTATTACTACTCTTATTACACTTGATGTAACTTAGATTAGTTCTAATACTGAATAATTAATGCCCTTCCAGAGCTAAAACAAGGGCTTGTGACTTGAGAGGACTAATTAAGTTTGTGACTTGTGAGTTTGTTAAAGTTGCAGTATCGCAAAGTGGATTTGAAATAATTGTGACTGGTGTTACTAATTGGATTTTGGATATGCTGTCTGGATCCGTAGAACTATAATAGCAGTTTATTTGATTGTAATTTTGTTGATTGAGTTTTGATATTGTTGCTTGAACCTGCGAAACTACATTGTCAAAGTTGATATAATGGACTCTCGATATAATGGATACTAAGTAAAATCTCAATATATTGGATTGACGTTAAAAATGGATTATAGTATTTTATTTGCTATATAAAATTTTTTCATTATAATGGATTTTTAAAAATTTTTATTAATGGAATTGACTAGTCCATTATATCGACTTTCACTGTATATATGGCAACTAATTAAAGGCAAAGTAAGACATGTGAAAAGCCTAGAATTTTCATATAAATGTGATGTTGGGTTGTTGTACTGGTTAAGAAAGATGTTAAAGTTGTTGTATTGATTAGGAAAAATATCAAGATTGTTATATTAATTAGAAGAATCGTTGGAATTGTTGTATTGTTTGGAAAAATCATTAGGATATTATAATGTTATATTGTTGTTATTGTTGTTTTAAACAGGTTTGAGCTAATTTGATTGTTGTTATGTTGGCTTGTTAATATGTGATTGATTGTTAAATATGTATAGATTATTTGAAGAAATGAAACTGTTTTTGGAATTTGTTGAGTTTTTGTTGAAATAAGTTGATGCAGCATTGTATATCATACAGAGGGTGGTTGAAAAGATTTGATTAAAACAAGTAGAAGACTCAAGAATTTTATTTAAATGTGTTTCTAAGAGTATGTTTGTAGTGTTAGGAAATAGTATAGAGATAATAATATTAGCATATGGATAGAGAGAAGCATATAAAAACAAAGTTATAAAGAAAAACTGCCATGGGTCTTTTCTTATACAAACAAAGAACAAGCAAGACTCCCAAACTTGCTTGACCTTTGTCTAGAGGTCCCATCCCAATGTAACAGTGGTCCTTGATATTCTTATGTCCTTAAACTTATAGTATATATAATATAAAGAGAGAGAGTAAAATGCTTTTACAAAGAAAATTACTATAAAAGAAAATTTTCAAAGAATTAGTGGTAAATGGATAAGGGTTTTTTTTTTTTTGATTATTATTGAATTTTTAAAAGTAGTTGATATGATTGTATTTGAGAAATTTGGGAATAAATTATTATAAACTGAAATAATTTTATAATATTGCTAGTAGACTGTTTTTGTTTTTTTAATTATAAATATTAATTTAATTGATATATTTTTAAAAGTAATTAACTTGTATTGCAATGATTCAATAAGAAGCTTGTCTGACTATAGAACCATTTCATTCTTTTTTAAAAGGCTATAGCTAAAGATGGGTTCCTAAATTAAAGGCAAGAATATAATTCAAATGTCCCTTACTATTAAAAAAGTTTTTTTTTAAATATAAGATCAAAAAAAACTATCTACAAAGGTTTTTTGCAATTTAGGCTACTTGATTCAAATGTTTTTTGAATTATGTCCCTATTAAAATAATAAATAAATAATTATGTCCCTTTAAAAGAAATATAATTGATCTGTAAAATTTTATATGCTAAATAATTTAGGAACTCATTTTTAGCTATGGCATTGAAAAAGTTTTAAATTTTTTTGATTAATTTGTGTTTGATAAATGAGGAAGAGAATTTACCAGAGATTGTAAACTCTGTTTCAGTTTTTTTTTTCTTTTTCAAATTTTCTAATCTGTTGTTAATTAATTTTAGTATTGATTAAATATTATTTCATACTTTAAAATATGATACAGTATATCTATAAAAGATTTATATATTTATTTTTAGAAAATAATTTTTTTTTATATTGATTTGTTATATTTTGACTTAAATTTTTTCTTTACTATTACTTGGCTTGAAACTGAAGCTTCCTGTATCAAAAAAATATGATTGAATTCTGCTAAACTTATTATTTTTATATAGATATTTTTTCTATATTTTAAGTATTTTTTGAATATTTTGATATTGTTTTTAGTAATTTATTATGTTTTAAATTCAAAGACTTATATATAATATTAAAATTTTATTCAAATTATTTTAATTCTTAAAATCCATTATTGCAAAGTTTTTTTTTCCAGGTTTTATTATTTATTGGAATATATATTGTTTTAATTTTGAGATATTTGATAGTACTTATTATATATATAGTGAAAGTTGTTTTGTTGATTCTATAAAGTTGTATTATAATTTTGTTTCATATTTCTAAAATAAGTGATAATTTTCAAATAGAGCAATTTTTGTTATTGAAATGTCTAAAAGTATAGATTATATTAAGTTTAAGTTTTGTTTTTATGATTTAAAAAGATATTATTATTATACATGTGGTGTAAATTATTTTGCTGTTGACTCAATTGCCAAAATCCTCAAAAATAATTGCGTCTGACTCAATTATTTTATATGTTTTAATAGTGACTCAATTAATTGCGTCAAATAATTGCGTCAATTGCGTCAAGGATCTACCAATTTCTACCACATGTATAGTTTTTATATTACCAGTGCAAACTTTTCTCCTTTCCCTTTACCCTTTCCCTTTATCTTCCCAAAAATAAAAGAATCTGGGTATACAAGCGGAATCAACATGGCAATGTCTATTGTCGTGAGCACGTATGGGATGATGTAAAGGGTGATAATGTTTTGCCGTGGTTCACATTGGAGGTGCATATGATTGAGGAAGCAATTTCAAAGGTGCGTTATTGCCATTACTTCTATGTAGCAATATTTTACCACTCATATTTTTTGATCACAGGAATCTTCCGAAACATCATCAGAGAATGAAGAATTGCAAATTAATTGCCCAGAGTGTGACACAACTTTCTCTGATCATTACACTTTCATGGAACATTATACAAATGAGCATGCTCGTAAACGGCGTAGAACAGAGTAGAGCTTTAGTGTTTTTTATAGAATAATGTCAAGTGCACTCAGATTGATAAATTACTTTCTAGCACAGCACCGCATGCAGATCGAGCATTAATATTTCGAATAAATGACGCAGTAGTTCACGTTATTTTATTAATTATTTAACAAGCATCATGTCCTGTATATTGGATTTTCTACCTTTAATGTTCGGAAATACATAAAATGTTGATTGAGTTCTTCATTGAAAAACTGCCCTCATAAGTATATAAGAAATAATATTCACCATCATCTTTGAGTAGAAGCAATGATAAAAAATGTCGATATATTTTTAAAAACATTCACCTACCTCTCTGTTTTGGGAGGAAATTTTTCTCGTCCCATTCTTGAACCTTATTCACAAACAGAAGTTAAAAATAATACTAAAGCATCCTCGTTTCTCACACAATTGAATGAAACTAATCTCGTTTCTTATGACAACAACTTCATAAACTTATTGAAATAAATCCAAAATTAGAAGTGCTTGCTACTGCAAACTACAAATTTGCTCACGAAGCTGGTGTATATATAGCAGAAAGAAATGATGTTTTTTTCACTTCTAATCGTCTTGGTAATACCAGTACAGCTGATCAGTATACGGAAATCAATAAGAGTAATCTTTCAACTAGAAAATATCCACTGTAAAACCCTCTTCTCCTATCCTCCTTGCCAACGGTGGTACATTCCATAACGGAAAAGTTATTTTTTGTGCTCAGGGACAACGAGACATTGATGGATCTATTGTTTCTATGGACCCGTATTCAATACTATCGTCGATAACTTTTTCGGTCTTAAGTTCAATAGCCCTAATGACACTGTTGTCTCAAAAGATGGCAGCTACTGGTTTACGGATCCGAGCTATGGTTTTGAACAAAATTTCGTGATGCACCACAACCTGGAGAATATGTTTACCAATTTGATCCCTCCACCGGCGATATTCGCGTGGTAGCAGATGGATTTGTGAAACCTAATGGTATAGCATTCTCTCCAGATGAAAAAAAAATATACATAACTGACACGGGTTTCTATACCGGCACTGGAAAATATGATCCTATGAGACCACACACGATTTATGAATTTGACGTAAACGATAATTATTTATCTAACCGTAGGGTATTTGCTGTAATTGATGTTGGTGTTCCTAATGGTATAAAACTTGACATTAGGGGAAACGTATATACTAGAAATGGTGATGGTGTTCAAATATTCTCTTCCCATGGGAAGTTGTTAGGAAAAATAATCATACCAGGCGGGGTGTCCAATATTGTTTTCGCCCGGAGAACTTTAACATTGCTAGCAGAGACTTCTATATATGAGGTAAAATTGGAGGTAGAAGGTGGCACAGTTAAGCTTTGAAAAGGGTTGATTCTCGATTTATAATTTTTTGTCTAATAAATGATAATGATAAAAGGTCAGACTCGATACAGTAAAACTTTTAAAACATTCAAAATTGCGTATGAACAATTTTGTAACAGGTAAACGGCGTATGTCGCTAATGCCAACAGAGATTCGCGTAACCGTTACTGATTATTAAAGATAGACGAATAGGTGATTTGAGGCGTTCGATTGACCAAGTGCTTCTCACTTCTCACCCATACTACTTTATTGATTTGATATTTTTCTTACTTATTTATACTCTCTCAACCATTACATAAAACAAATTAAACATACTAAATATAGAACGATAAGATTAAGTATGGCTATATAACGATTACATAATAATCTCTACAATGCCATTGTCGTCGCTCGCGGTCATTATGTTGACTGGTTGTGCCAGGATCCGATCTCGCGCTATCCAGCGTAGATCGGTCATGTGACATATTACATTATCGTCGTTCGTTACGCGGCGCGTACGATCTTCTATACGTTTTATTGTGCCCTTATCGTGGCACCTTATAGAGGTACACGAATATAACCCTTTTTATTTTATCCCTTACAATGTCAATTATCTATCATTTAAAAGAAACAAAGTATAAAATAATTAATAAATTAAAATAAGAAAACTTTTATCAAACTTTATTAAAATCGTATGTATAGATTTTAATGTTAATTTCAAAATATAAAGCATAATTAAAATATTTTCTTATAAATATAATCAATAATTTATTGTTAACGAAGGAAAATCAGCGGTTATGGCTACACGACGTGATTTTTGCGTAATGCGACCATAATTCGACATGCTAAGTATAATGCATTCTATAGTTTAATTCGACAGGCAAATGAAAGGGCCAGTACCGAACCACAAGAAACACCTTCAATGCATATAATTTGGGCTATAACCAACTATAGCAAAAAGACAATTGACATCCTATTTCTCATGTGATTTACACCATACATGGCTTTTACTTCCTTGTTGAAATTGAGAGAATGTCAATTTGTCACTCCAAATTATCTTCTTGAAGTCATAAATAGATCAATCTTTATATTCAAGATATCAGATAAGCC